CGGGGTCTTGAAACGTATCGCAATGACAACACCACGAATAAAAAAATTGGGATACTTCGGCGGACACGTGAGGGCGGCAATGGCAAGGCGCACGCCAGCGGTGGTACAGGCCTGAAGTGTCTCCGAGGTGAGAGGCAACACATTCACCGCTGCCTCGCCATTTAAGTGACGCTCTAACGGTCGTTCGCGAAGCACCTCCACGTCAAACGAAATTGCCCTCTCCACGATGAAATCATCATCCCCGTCCTCATTGCCAACGCCCCCGTCGACTCTCGAAGCTTCTCTTCTCGCCTCTGTGGTTGTTGCGGCCGCCGCCTCCACCAATCCTGTCAAAAGTTCCCCCCAGTAGGCATCATCCACCACTAAAGTGTCGCCTGTCTTGCTGTCCCTGTGAAAGACGGTAAAGTCACTGGGTGGAATGTCCATGAAGCGGAGCTTCTTCTCTACGATATCGTTAATATCCTGATAACCATGGTCATTTGGGTCGGCCACTGTCATGGTGTCGCGGAACACCCGTTCCCCCTGCACGCCGGGCACCTTTGTAAACCGGAGGCGAAGTCCGAGTCGGACCACCACCATTGGGGGACGGATTCTGCAGCAAAAAAAAAAAAATAATAGGGAAAGCAAACGCAAGAGTTAAAAATCCCATGCAATATAAGAAGGCGACAAAGAGGAATGATATTGCAGCAACAACGAACAAGAAAGTGGAAGTATCTTTTTTGGAACCCAACAACAACAACGAATAAAAGATGCAGAGTCATTAAAAGGCGGCAATTTCTGTGAAGATGATTTCACTCACCGTAGGAGGTGAAAGATGACCCCCGGATCAAGTGTGGCGAACTGAAACGCCTCTCGCAGTGCGGAGGTGACCGCCGATCCTCGCGGCAAGGTCATGCGCAATACGCACGTCATACCGCTACGTCTTGCAGCCTTTAGAAAATGGCTTCGCTGTTCCGCGCCACGAATGCCATTTCGAGCAATTATATTTTTACCTGTGGCCACAGAAAGGGGGGAAAGCTGCCGCATGATACCCTCTTGATCTTCCCAAAGCTGCGGTCGGATAGGCGCTTCATTGTTGCTCTCCCAACACCACCCCCTTTCATCATCGAATAGGCAATACGTGAAGTCCCTTGGGCGTACCACGAGACGGCGGTACGTCGCCGGCGGGGCTGCCTTCATTTTCATCAGACCCTCGATTTGAAGCTCCTGCGCCAACCGCTCTGACGCCTCCCTCATTTTGCCATCCGGGGAAACCAACCGCTCCGCTCCGTTTCCCAGAACAGGAAGAACCACTTGTTCCAAGCTAAACCGTCGACCCTCTTCCGGGGTTTGCACGACGTGGATCTTACCAGCCAAATGATTCATGTGCTTCTCTCCGGCGATGGAGAGCCATTCCG